TGACGCTACACTGGGTTTGAGAAAGTCAGTATAGAGGAAGCCGGCACAGATACGTACAGTCTACAGGGCTGACGCTACACTGGGGTGGTGACAGTCAGTATAGAGGAAGCCGGCTCACAAACACGTACAGTTTACAGGACTGACGCTACACTGGGGTGGAGACAGTCAGTATAGAGGAAGTCGGCTCACAGATACGTACAGTTAACAGGGCTGACGCTACACTGGGTTTGAGACAGTCAGTATAGAGGAAGCCGGCACAGATACGTACAGTCTACAGGGCTGACGCTACACTGGGGTGGTGACAGTCAGTATAGAGGAAGCCGGCATAGGTACGTACAGTTTACAGGGCTGACGCTACACTGGGGTGGTGACAGTTAGTATAGAGGAAGCCGGCATAGGTACGTTTAGTTTACAGGGCTGACGCTACACTGGGGTGGTGACAGTCAGTATAGAGGAAGCCGGCATAGGTACGTACAGTTTACAGGGCTGACGCTACACTGGGGTGGTGACAGCCAGCATAGAGGAAGCCGGTTCACAGATACGTACAGTCTACAGGGCTGACGCTACACTGGGGTGGTGACAGTCAGTATAGAGGACGTCGGCACAGATACGTACAGTCTACAGGGCTGACGCTACATTGGGGTGGAGACAGTCAGTATCGAGGAAGCCGGTTCACAGATACGTACAGTATATAGGGCTGACGCTACACGCTACACTGGGGTGGTGGCGGTCAGTATAGAGGACGTCGGCACAGATACGTTCAGTCTACAGGGCTGACGCTACACTGGGTTGGTGACAGTCAGTATAGAGGACGTCGGCACAGATACGTACAGTTAACAGGGCTGACGCTACACTGGGTTTGAGACAGTCAGTATAGAGGAAGCCGGCACAGATACGTACAGTCTACAGGGCTGACGCTACACTTGGGTGGTGACAGTCAGTATAGAGGAAGCCGGCTCACAAACACGTACAGTTAACAGGGCTGACGCTACACTGGGTTTGAGACAGTCAGTATAGAGGAAGCCGGCACAGATACGTACAGTCTACACGGCTGACGCTACACTGGGGTGGAGACAGTCAGTATAGAGGAAGCCGGCTCACAAACACGTACAGTTTATAGCGGTGACGCTACACTGGGGTGGTGACAGACAGTATTGAGGACGTCGGCACAGATACGTACAGTCTACAGGGCTGACGCTACATTGGGTTGAAGACAGTCAGTATAGAGGAAGCCGGTTCACAGATACGTACAGTATATAGGGCTGACGCTACACGCTACACTGGGGTGGTGGCGGTCAGTATAGAGGACGTCGGCACAGATACGTTCAGTCTACAGGGCTGACGCTACACTGGGTTGGTGACAGTCAGTATAGAGGACGTCGGCACAGATACGTACAGTTAACAGGGCTGACGCTACACTGGGTTTGAGACAGTCAGTATAGAGGAAGCCGGCACAGATACGTACAGTCTACAGGGCTGACGCTACACTTGGGTGGTGACAGTCAGTATAGAGGAAGCCGGCTCACAAACACGTACAGTTAACAGGGCTGACGCTACACTGGGTTTGAGACAGTCAGTATAGAGGAAGCCGGCACAGATACGTACAGTCTACACGGCTGACGCTACACTGGGGTGGAGACAGTCAGTATAGAGGAAGCCGGCTCACAAACACGTACAGTTTATAGCGGTGACGCTACACTGGGGTGGTGACAGACAGTATTGAGGACGTCGGCACAGATACATAGAGTCTACAGGGCTGACGCTACACTGGGTTGAAGACAGTCAGTATAGAGGACACCGGCACAGATACGTACAGTTTACAGGACTGACGCTACACTGGGGTGGTGACAGTCAGTATCGAGGAAGCCGGTTCACAGATACGTACAGTCTACAGGGCTGATGCTACACTGGGTTGGTGACAGTCAGTATAGAGGACGTCGGCACAGATACGTACAGTCTACAGGGCTGACGCTACACTGGGGTGATGACAGTCAGTATAGAGGAAGCCGGTTCACAGATACGTACAGTCTACAGGGCTGACGCTACACTGGGGTGGTGGCGGTCAGTATAGAGGACGTCGGCACAGGTACGTACAGTTTACAGGGTTGACGCTACACTGGGGTGTAGACAGACAGTATAAAGGAAGCCGTCTCACAGATACGTACAGTTTACAGGGTTGACGCTACACTGGGGTGGATACAGTCAGTATAGAGGAAGTCGTCTCACAGATACGTACAGTTTACAGGGCTGACGCTACACTGGGGTGGAGACAGTCAGTATAGAGGAAGCCGGCTCACAGATACGTACAGTCTACAGGGCTGACGCTACACTGGGGTGGTGACAGTCAGTATAGAGGAAGCCGGCTCATAGATACGTACAGTGTACAGGGCTGACGCTACACTGGGGTGGAGACAGTCAGTATAGAGGAAGCTGGCTCAGAGATACGTACAGTCTACAGTGCTGACGCTACACTGGGGTGGAGACAGTCAGTATAGAGGAAGCCGGCTCACAGATACGTACAGTTTACAGGGCTGACGCTACACTGGGGTGGAGACAGTCAGTATAGAGGACGTCGGCACAGATACATACAGTCTACACGGCTGACGCTACACTGGGGTGGTGACAGTCAGTATAGAGGAAGCCGGCTCACAAACACGTACAGTTTATAGCGGTGACGCTACACTGGGGTGGTGACAGACAGTATAGAGGACGTCGGCACAGGTACGTAGAGTCTACAGGGCTGACGCTACACTTGGCTGGTGACAGTCAGTATCGAGGAAGTCGGCACACAGACACGTACAGTTTATAGCGGTGACGCTACACTGGGGTGGTGACACCCTGTATATAATTTGACCTCTCTACCGACGTTACACCCCTCAAGATTGTTGCCGGTGTTAGTTGCAAGGCTCAGACCGTGACATCGGGGAAGTCTAAAACAGTCACGATGATTGCAGCTGTCAGTGCAGATGGCGGGAATGTTCCTCCTTTTTTTGTATTTCCTGGTCAACGGATGAGAGAAGAACTGTTGTCTGAAGCAACATCTCGAGCCTCTAGCACAGTGTCTGAGACAGGATGGTCTAATAAGGGCGCATTCAGCACCGACATGAAGGATCACTTGGCGAAATACCTCCTAACTCGTGACGCAGATTCACCCGTTCTTATATTATATGACGGCCACAAGAGTCACGTGTCACTTGGTTTAATTGAATGGGCGTGGCACAATCACGTCATATTGTTTGTTCTTCCACCTCATACCAGTCATCTTTTACAACCGCTTGATATCGGGTGTTACGGTCCTTTTGAGACCACCTGGATTAGAGCCTGTCATTCATTTCTTAGAGGAAATTTTGGGAGAGCCATAAGTGAACGCGACATATACAGGATAGCATGTGAAGTGTTTAATTCCACTTTGACGCCTATTAGCATTGTATCTTCCTTCAGAAAATCTGGAATCCAGCCGTTCAACTCCGATGTTGTTGATGACTTGCTTGTCATGCCTGCCCGGTTTTTACCGGGCCCCGCCGTCTGATTCGAAATGAAATGCGGGTGTTGCCAATACCGATAGTGCTGCACGAGATTTTCTGGAATGTCGGGGTGGCGAAGTCTTGAAGAATGTGAAAAGTTTAAACCAAGGAATACACTGAGTAAAATCGTCGGTGGGAAAGCAATAACTGACCAGACAATACTTGACAAAATTACAGCGCATCGGGATAAACAGAATAAAGTAGGCAAACAGAATCCACGTAAGAGGAAACGGGACAGTCAGCGTGATCCATGAGCAGCCCACAACATCAGGCGTGGATATATCTAAGGGAAAAGGCAATTCTTCCAATAACAACAAAGCCAAGGGGAAGAGATCTAGTCGCGCGGGTACTGCTGCCAAGGCTACGCGCGCACCTGTACGTGGTCCCACCTAGTGACAGTTTCACAGACAGCGAGACAGATGACGATGTCTGTTGTGTTGGCGGGAAATTCACTCCTGACGCCTTACGGTACACTGACACAATCACATTTGTGAAGTGGGCAGAGTGCAGTAAATGTGGACATTGGGTGCATCTAGTATTTTGCACGAAGTTACGATTTGTCCGCACTCATATACAAATTCTTTGTTGAATGTCATAAATTCATAAATGTCTTCAAATGTTCCAGTTGGAGTGACTCATTTAATATTTCTTAAATGATGTTGGAACTACGATGAGTGTTGTGTATGAAACATAATTTTGGTTGTCATCAACGGCGCACCCTGCATTCTTCGTTTTAAACGTCATTGCCGAAAACAGGTGGCCACTGCAGCAATGGCGGCAAGCGACAGCTCAAGTTGACGAGTGCAGTTACTAAAATGTGAGTGCATATCCTTTGACAGATGTTTGTTGACATTAACAGAATATGAATTGATTTTATTAGAACGTGTATAAATTTACCGCGCACTTTTAGTACATCGCCGAAAACAGGTGAAACCGGGATATCGAAAGACGTTAAACATTTGTACTTGTTGTTACCCTGTCTAGCGCTCGGTATTATGAAGCTAAAACAGGGACTGGTCGGCTCAAAGTCAGTATACTGTGACTGAATGGGATATTCATGTTAACCTGTGGCATGATATCTCAGTAGGCTAGCACTATAAAATCGGCATTAGTCCGGACTAGTACAAACACGCACACACACACACACACACACACACACACACACACACACACACACACACACACACACACACACACACACACACACACACACACATACACACACACACACACACACGTGTGTATGCACGTCGCTACAATAATCTTGAACGCGACTTTAAACCCCATTTCATCTCATTATACACCGCTTCATTATAATACATTCAGTGTATTGCCAGTCCGAATTTTCAGTCTTTTGATCTCATGTGCGGTTCCCAACTCCCAAATTAGATGCTTGAAATACTGGTTAATATTCTTGGAATGCATGAACGCCGAATCCCCAAACTTGCTTATAATGTGCTTGTACATTTAGACGACATGGGCAAAGTAACATGGGCATCACATATTAGAAATCTTTTGTTGACTCCTCGATCGTCCGCTCTACCACCAGTCTCCTCCACCGTCCACTCTACCCCCAGTCTCCCCCATCGTCCACTCTACCACCAGACTCCTCCACCGTCCACTCTACTACCAGTCTCCCCCACCGTCCACTCTACCACCAGACTCCCCCACCGTCCACTCTACCACCACTCTCCCCCACCGTCCACTCTACTACCAGACTCCCCCACCGTCCACTCTACCACCAGTCTCCTCCACCGTCCACTCTACCACCAGTCTCCCCCATCGTCCACTCTACCACCAGTCTCCTCCTCCGTCCACTCTACTACCAGTCTCCCCCACCGTCCACTCTACCACCAGTCTCCCCCACCGTCCACTCTACCACCAGTCTCCCCCACCGTCCACTCTACCACCAGTCTCCCCCATCGTCCACTTTACCACCAGACTCCTCCACCGTCCACTGTACCATAATGGCATTTTTAAGGTTATATTTACAAGCAGTTAATATGATTTGGTCACATATGCTAGTCCTAGTTTACATATTATCAGCATTGACTCAGGCTTAGTATGCACATATAATGTTTCATAGGAGAGAAGCATGAGTTTGTACACAGTCTTCCGAAGTGTAGTAGTCTGCATTTGTCTATGTATCCTGTCAGCGTCCACATTCCAAGATTTGCTATGGTTGAATCAGTTGATGATTTTTGGTCTAGACCTTGGATGACTCTGGCAAAGTGCCGTTGAACCTTCTCTATCTGAATCGTATCCTGGCCACGTATGCCCCTTAGCAGCTCACACACATAGACGCTGGTAGAGAGAACCATTCGGTGCCATAGTTTAACACACACAATAGGGTGGACATCATAGCTGTTTACTCCTACAGATTTGAGTGGGTTTACTGTGCGCCTTGCGTTTTAGCAACATCGCACTATTATATTTGTACATGTCAGTTTAGAGTTTAGAATGACTTCCCAATATGTTACACAATCTGATATTTTAATAGGAACACTACCCAGTTGAAATTTGAAATTATTCATTCAATAGGTGACACATAAATAAAATCTTCTTCTTCTTTCTTTTTCCTATTTTCAATTTTAACCCTTAGACAATCATCTATCCACAAATAAGCAATGATCGTTTATATACTGCTCTTTTCTTTGTATGACTGGGATTACATGATGAATAATACTCCTTTTTCTTTCAAAAATGGGAATGTGACAAAGCCCATTTTGTATCACAAATTGTGTTCACTATTCGGTGAGAAAACGATGAGCGAAACATGTTATTCCTCTAATTTCGTTTACTATTCTCACTTCCGTACTTTCTTTACTCTTGTTGTGCGACTTAAACTATTCGCTGATCTGTGTATAAAATGACCAAATGGATTGTATTTTCTTCGTTTCTTTTTGCGGTATCGTGAGCTCAAACTGCTCACAAATTGCTAATATGTCCCACTCTGACAGTGACAATACTTTTGAGTTGTCAAGGAATGTGAATGTTTCTTAGGACATGAATTGGAGATTTCTGAGGAAGAAGTGTTGTAGTCTTGAAATGACACTACCAAGATGAAGCAACATGTCATCAACTCTGTGACTCCGTGTCACTTGCTAATTAGTGGTACTTGGTTTGAGGGTGTCCTCACAAAATAAGTACACGCCAACATCACTGCAGTCTGAGTAACAAAGTTGATGGTCCAGTGGGCAGCTGTACCCCTGCCTGTTCCCTTCGTCCCCATTGGACCTGTTTTGCAATATACAAATACAAAACAACGGAAGGTAGAAAATAGAATGATTTTTATTTTAACATGTATACATGAATAACATTTGTTATATGAATTCGTTTGTATTACCAAATAACAAAGCACACATGGACATGTAATACCGTTATTTAATCTCTTCAGCGATATACCGATATATAAATAATAGATATACCGGAATAGGGATTATTTATATATCGGTTTATCGCTGAAGAGATTAAATAACGATATTACATGTCCATGTGTGCTTTGTTATTTGGTAATACAAATAATATATATACCGTATAAGGACCGTGTGCGACATACGCTTGCTGTCGGAAAGCGTACGTTAAATCTCCAATATAAGTAAGTAAGTAAGGAATATGATCTCAAATTGTTTCAAATTATCTCAAATTTTCCAAAAAACTGCACTACAACTACAGCTGCAGATTGAATGTGTCCGGACAGACTCAGGTGCACGTGCACTATCAGTGAGTGAGTGAGTGAGTGAGTGAGTGCATGTTTGCGCAATATGGCGGCGGGGTACTCCAACAGCATCCATCACCCAGTGTCCCTATGTGGGGAATCAAGCCTTGGACTTCAGCGTGACGCGCCACTGCTATATACACCAGCTTACCTCCCCTGACTATTGATGACGTAATACGGAACACAAAGAGGATAAACAATCAATGTTTTGACATTTGTATTTTGCATATCTTCCTTGTGGTCATGAACAATAAAACTATGCAATAAATGCAATAAAGCATTTAATTCATTCACGTCATTCAGGCGGTGAACTGAACTAAGTGTGTGTCATTGTGGAGCTTGGAAGCTTACCGCTGAAATGACCTTTAGTATGTCAGAAGCTCCTATGTTTACATTTCCAAAGCAACAATTAAGGACTACATCTTTATGTCACCTGTACTTGTACAAACGTAAGAATTACCCACAGTTTACTGGTATTGTCACATATATGACATACTTCATACTCAGCGGGACTTATGAACACATTGTGCGGCATGAACCAACAAACAAAAAACTTTTACTATTCGTTAATCTTTCTCCTCTGTGTCCAAGCGATCAAATCCTCTGTATGTGTTGCCAAGAAAACTGGGAAGATGCAGTCGTGTCTTGGTACAGAACTTCGAAATTTTTCCTGTGAAAAAAAAAGTTAAAATAATGAAATATTCCAGTCACGTGTTGGCATTACGTATTCTCTTGTCAATATCTCATTACGATTATCCCAAGGTTATTCGTTACGGAAACAAAGCTACCACTGGGTATCAGCATGTTTGAGTTTTTTTCCGCCTCAGATTAAATGAAATAACACACAATAAAGGCTTATTTATCAGAACAAAGTTACCGATTGGTCTAGTATGAAGTACATGTTTTCATATTCGTCACCTGACTGATATATAGCGAGAACGACAGCGAACCCAAGAACCAGCATCATCCCAGATATGATAAAGACATCCGTCAAGATAGTGTCCATTCCGTCCTCAGTTGTCTCCCTTGATCTGTTCTCAGCCACGTGCGAGAGTTCAGCGTCGACTGCAGAACGGTTTCCTGCGGTACTTTCTGAAGGTAGATGCATCAGGTAGCGTACATGTAACTAGCTCAAGGTTACAGAATAGTGCCACTGACTAGTTCATCATAGTATTGTAGCATCCTTCCACATGCTGACATGAAGTACGAGTGAATTTTATTACATTTAAAACAAATAAATCGTATCCAAATCTCTTTCTGTGTCAATTCAAAACTCTCGCTACGTAAACAATCCACAACCCGTATTGGAAGACTCATCGCGCGGCCTTGCCTTGCTCCATCCAGCAGTGTTGTGAAGAGGTAGTGTTTGTTTTTTGTTGTTGTTTAACGCCGCACTCAGCAATATCCCAGCTATATAATCGAGTCTGAACCAGACAATCCAGTGATTGACAACATGAGCATGCATCGATTTACGCAATTGGGATCGATGACGTGCATCAACCAAGTCAACGAGCCTGACCACCCGATCCTGATCTTTCGACAAGCGTAGTCGCCCTTTACGATGCTCATGATGTCAATCACTGGATTGTCTGTCCAGACTCGATTATTTACAGACCGCCGTCAGAGTGCAACGTAAAAGAACAAACAAACAAGATTTACTCCCGTACTATTGTACTCCTATGACCTGACGTACATGTATCAGGTCACAGGTCTCTGCTTCCCGTACCAGGTTATTCAGGTCCCCGGGTTTAGTGATGCGTGACATGTATGATCTTAAAGTGACGATGTTGCAGGTCTGACAGCCACATAATTTCCTCTCAGTGAAGCGATCAACGTGTGCGTAATACGTGACTCGGACAATTCATTTACTGTAATACCATATCCCAATTTGAACTATTACAACTCTAATTATTGTTTATCGATTGATGATTGAAGACTCGACAGGAAGTTTTTAAGTTTTGCGGATTTACACGGAGAGTTGTTTTTACCATTGTCGGGGGGAGGCACGTGGATGTGATGGTGGTCGTGACCCTGTGCTTCCTCCTCCAGGAGGGGGTTCCGGGGCAAGGGGACGGCCGAGTCAGGGGGTAGTTTTCTCACAAGGTCGGGATACGTGTTTCCCCCGCAAAAAGGGAAAAGACTTTTAGTGTTGGCTTCCGCTTTAAACATGATGATGAAGTTGCACATCTCGTCACTGTCTGCGTATCTGCAACAAAACAAACAGCGTGTCATATATCAAACCCCTCGTTGCGTGGCACTTGTCGACATGTGCAACAGGTGGTTCTAAGCGTCATTCCTACACCTATTACCTATGACCAGCGGGAGTGAGGAGTGGCAAGGAATTCTTGTTTTGATATATTCTTCAGAGTCTGTTTCTCCCGAACCTTCACTGTCACGTGGTTTCATCCTTTGCCAAAGTCTGATCGGTTGCCATTTTGAAGAGTCATAATCGGACCTGAAGGAGCATGAAGTCGCGTGGCATTTTGAGGATATGAAGTCACTCAATGGTCATCATAAGACGCTGAGACAACATAATCTGGTCAGTGATAAAGCAGTTTGAGCTCACCATGAAAACACAAGCCCCCGTCAAGATTTCGTTGGAATATTGCTAAAAGTGGCATAAGACGTCATGCACTCACTCATGTCAGCACATGTGACGATTTTACTGACTTCATGACCCCAGAACGAGTAGATCATTGACAATAGTCATTGACCACTATCATTTTGTCCGACGTCTTGATATATATTCACCGCCAAAAGAAACGCGAATACCATACATGTTGGTTAATACACTCTTCAAAAAAAGAAACGCGCAGGTTGTATGTAGTTCATTGAACCTGGCTACACAAAAAATCCGGTATACAAATTGGATATATGTTATTGGAAAATGTTGGTGGCTTGATATTCGTCAAACAGTGCGTCAAAGCGCAGCCACTGTCGATTTGCAATGTATTAAACTGCATTGTTTTCACACTTGTTCAAAAATGTCATGGGGGCAAATAATAAAGCAAAATGCACGTGCAAGTTATCGCCTTCGTAACTCGTGGTATTGTCTATTAAAAGGCAAGCCAACAATTTGTCATTCAATTGTCAACATTTTTCAAGTTCGCCATAGGACGTATCCAAAGAGGGGAATCACAGTCTTCTGTTGCACGCCACTTCAACGTCCACCACAGCACCATTTGCCGCCTTTGGGACCGATACACACAGTTCAATTCCACTGCAGACCGTCCGAGAACCGACCAACCAAGAGCTACCACCCCTGCACAGGATCGCTACATTCGACTGTTGCAACTACGTCATCGCAATGCCACAGCTACGGAGACTGCAGGACGCATCCCTGGGTAACTGCAGTAACGCTTGCATTGGTGCCATAGCTTACAGCCTTGGAATTTGAGAAACTGGAGACGAGTGTGGTTTAGCGATGAATCACGATTTCTTCTTCACCGACGAGATGGAAGACAACGTGTTTATCGTCGTCGAAATGAGCATTTTCCCCCACATTGTGTACGTGAGTTCGACAATTTCGGTGGCGGTAGTGTCATGGTGTTGGAGCATTTTGCCCCACATTGTGTACGTGAGTTCGACAATTTCGGTGGCGGTAGTGTCATGGTGTCGGGGGCCATATCCTACACCTCGAGATCTGACTTGGTTGTGGTTCAGGAAAATTTGACAGTAAATCGCGACATGATTCAAATTCTTCAACCTCACCATCTTCCAATCATTGACCACCAGAGGGAGCTGTTTCAACAGGACAACGCTCCACCGCACACAGCTCGTGTCACAGTACCCTCATAATACCAACAACAACGGCTTGCCCTGGCCGTCGAGATCTCCAGATCTCAACCCAATCGAACTCCTCCTGGACAAACTCTATCGACGTGTACTTCAACGTCAGAACTCGCCACACTCCTACAACTGACCAACGTGTTACAAGCAGAATGGCGCAGAATTCCACAGGACAGAATTCGTATACCTATCTAGTCAGTGCCGAGGAGATGCAGAGCCATGATTGCTGCCCGGGGCGGTCTCACAAGATACTGAGTTCAGCGCAACCTTGTGGCCTTATGTGACATGACAATGAACAGTTTTCAATGCCTTTGTACAACGACAACATGTGACTATCGAGATCCAAAATTTCATATTTGTTTCTATGATATTAAATTAAATATATCGACTTTATTAGGTACAATAAATTTACTAAAAATCTCCCTGTGCGTTTCTTATTTTGAAGAGTGTATATGAAGACGGACTCATATTCAAGAGATATAAGATTGGATCGATCACAAACGAACACATTGGTATGTTCTTTGAACCGATTCTCATGAACACATGACATGTGACGTCATAGATCTTGGACTCGGGATGCACCATTTTTCTCGAGCAATATTAGTGTGTAAAGTTTTGAAATCATGTGCAGCACATCGTGATAAGAATAAAGACACTCTGTGGTAACACTTGACTGGTTGTTAGTTTTGTCATTAAGTGGTACACATTGGAAACATCTCTTATAGTACATACCTCTCTATATGTTTATATGGTTCGCGTTTCTTTTGGCGGTGAGTATACGTTTCACAGAACTTACCCTGCATATGTGGACCGGTTTCTATCCGTTGAGTCGAAGAGACATCTTGCCACCTGCCGACAGATAATGAATGTGTCATGGGGGTATCACCACTGTCCTACAAGTATATAGGTCACGAGTGATGGAAGCATCATCACGTGCTGACAAGAAGGAAATGGTGAAATAAAACATTTACCAACTTATCCCCAGGCTTTATGACGATGTTTCTTTGCACGGGGTAGAAAACCTAAAAATAGATGTAAAAACAATGATGAAAAGTGACAACACAATATATTAATGATGAACAGGTTATGTTTCGCTCACTCAACACATATGCGACATAGATGCACAAATCACTTTCAGTCAAACGCAGTGTTGAACATATCACACATTCAGTTAAACGCAGTGTTGAACATATCACACATTCAGTCAAACACAGTGTTGAAATATTACATTCAGTCAAACGCAGTGTTGAAATATTACATTCAGTCAAACACAGTGTTGAAATATTACATTCAGTCAAACGCAGTGTTGAAATATTACATTCCGTCAAACGCAGTGTTGAAATATTACATTCAGTCAAACGCAGTGTTGAAATATTACATTCAGTCAAACACAGTGTTGAAATATTACATTCAGTCAAACGCAGTGTTGAAATATTACATTCCGTAAAACGCAGTGTTGAACCTATTACACTCAATCAAACGCAGTGTTGAACATATTACATTCAGTCAAACAAATTTTACACGTGACAGCCCTAACGCTGAAACCCACTTATCATATGCAGATTAAGTATAGGTGAGGTGTAGGTTCTCGTGGCATACGATCATAACATGTATTCGTTCCTCCATACCTGAGGCCACATTGGATTTCCCTTGCCGATTTCATACCAGGATCCGTTGTACAAATAACTTGTTATTGCCCTTCCTGTAACACAGAAACACACGCTACCATGATGACGTCACACATAGGAAAACACGGCATATTGTGTTTTTGGACCGTTCATGTAACACACAAATACACGTTTCCATGACATCATGACAGATGGGAATACTTTTTCAGGGGTGAAATGAAACTTCGGTCAGAGGAAAACATTGCAGCGACCCCAACATTAAATGTCAGTGACGTAACAACAGAGTGAAGCTTCGGCAGAATGCAGCTGACACAATACAACTTAGTTCGAATCCAAGGAGTCTCTGCTTAAAAAGTATCTACATAGTATGCATGCTACTTCCCCGAGGCCAAGTTTCGATTCTGTTACTTGGAAAAGGTAGTGGGCAAAGTGTTATGTATCAACATTTGAGGCACTGGAGGTATGGATGCCAAACATGTTATAACTGATCAACAGTAACCAGAACCACCGCTGAGGACCCTTGACCAGAACCCGCCGTCCAATGGCAGCTGAAAGCGTTTGTCAGTAGCTGAGGCTACTTGAAGTAGTTCAATCAGAATGGGGGATTCTGCAGTGTCATGGGAGGACCTGGATTCTTTCTGTAGCCGAAAATAAAATACACCAAAAGAAATCCACAATTGTAGGTAGGTAACGTAATATTACACGCCCTACTTGGCTTTGTTTGTAGCTTAACGCCGCACTCAGCAATATTCCAGCTACATGACGGAAACTTGTAATAATCCAGTCTGGACCAGACAATTCAGTGATTAATAACAACACGCAATCCACCCAGCCACCTGTCTGATCCCCCGACCAAATCACCTCTGACGACATGCATAGGTTGTCAGGGGTCAATTCGTCCTCGAAATCACCACAGGGTGCTGAATTTGATGATGTGATGGAGGTGAAAGGTGAGGTGAAACTGGGTTAAACGCCGCGTCCAAGATTATTGCACATATATAGCGTGTGTGTGTGTGTGTGTGTGTGTGTGTGTGTGTGTGTGTGTGTGTGTGTGTGTGTGTGTGTGTGAGTGTGTGTGTGTGTGTGTGTGTGTGTGTGTGTGTGTGTGTGTGGCTGCTTGTTCTAGTCCGGACTGATGCCGATTTATAGTTCTAGCCCACTGAGATACCATGAATACCATACTCAAACGCAGCATAAAGACTCCGAGCCGATCAGTCCTTGTTTTATCCCCTTTATGCCGAGCGCCAGACAGGGTTACAACAAATACCATATTTTAACGCCTTTTGGTATGACGCGGCCGGGCATCGAACCCCGGACCTTCCGCTCTTTTGGCAGACGCTCGACTACTAGACCACGGAGGCGGTTCTGATGTGATTGAAGATGACGCTATGACATAGAGACTTCTACACGACTCTGCAAATCAGCTGTAATACTGACCCAGGTTGTGGGCATGGGTTCTGAAGGCAAATGGGTAGATGGGCGTGTCCCCCGTGTAGGAACAGCTGATGTTCACGAGGACCTCTGGAAATAAACACACATTTTTTAGCGGCGCAGGGTATATTATAGAATTGAAGTTATGAAGAACGAGGAGAGAGAATCGGTATGAAAAGAACGGACATCACAGTTAAATAAAACACCTTATCTGACTAAATGATGTTTCTGGTAGTTTCCTTAATGTGTATATCAAAGTTGCCTTTGCCCAGCAGACAGCGTATGTGGCGGGTCAGAAGTTCTCACAACGTACTTGGTGTTTGCGGTGGTATTCGAAATCCATTGAGGTACATCACTTCCATTCCGGCAGAATATAATTCCCTGAAGAACAATTATTTACATAGAAAATAAACCACATTTAAACAATACATCTATGCTGAGTAAAGTCTCATTCAGCACATTATCAATACCTAGACTCAAACAGCGGAAACCAAATTGCAGGATGTAAAGGTAGAAATGCAAGTATTTCCAACCTCATTGGAGTGAGTGAGTGAGTATGGTTTTACGCCACTATTAGCAATATTCCAGCAATATCACGGCTGGGGACACCAGAAATGGGCTTCACACATTGTACCCATGTCGGGAATCGGACCCGGGTCTTCGGCGTGACGAGCGAACGTTTTAACTACTAGGCCTCCCGAACTCTTCATTAGACATCTCTGCAGTTTTACGACCCCAACTATATCAAAATACATCATGAAACTCAATCAATTGGTGATGATACCAAAACAAAACATAAAGAATGTTGAAGCCTTTTTTCCGACTGCTATGGCAGTATGCTTTCGATCTAACCCTCGTTACAAATTCTTATCAAATGTCAGTACGGTTTTTTAATTTGCTTACCTTTTAGTTGAAACGGTCAGCCGTATTCCCGAATAATCCTTTTTTGTAGAATCTGTAATATAGGTTCTTTGAGACATGATAAGTAATATATATCGTGTACAGGGGTAATTCGTGTTTCCAACACTGTGGGACTCATGGTGTATTCTGAGCAGAATATCTGCGTCCATGCCGTTTCTTTATTAATAGTGAAATTTGTCCTTTCCAAAGTAACTCAGATGGTCTATTTTAATTTTTATATCAGCTTTTCACATACGTTTAATTTACATACACAATGGGTATAAGGAAATATAACTTAATTATATACTACATGTCTCTGCTGGTGCTTCCAATCTCAGATGTGGCGAACATTACATGCGTTACAATGGAGAAAAATACATTTGTACTGGACTGTACAATAAACTATTGCTGACCTGGATTTTTCTCTACTTTGGACATATTTGACAGGAACTGACCAGTGCCAGGTTTGGCGACTCCACGGACAGTTCTACGGGGAGGAAGTCTTACCGGTAAACCCATGTTTGTAGTGAATCTGCAGTATAAGCGTTGTGATCGTCGATCCTTTACCAATTCTGAATCCAACACCTGGAACAGAAGAATTTTACATTCGAATAATTCTAACTTATAATAGATCCGTATAACACATATTAATGTAGGTAGGCAATTTACAGACCTAGGCTTAAAACAGTCTCTCCGCTCTTTCATTCTTGTAACGTTGACAAACGTTAATTTCAATAATATGTTCTTAAACAAGAATTTGTATTCATTTGACTTAGTATTCACTTTAAATCCAAAGTTTCAGAGAAGAAATGTCACCTTTCGGTAAACTTGTCGATGTGGCGTGTTTGGCCCAGGCATACAGGTATTTACGTTGCCCGGACCTGCATTTGTCTCCCCTGCAGTTCCTGTGATGATTTGAGAATCCAGCAACAAGATGAACAAACACATAACGACAACGAAATGTCTACAGCGCACGACGACCATCAGAATAAGTAGCACTGTTGCCATTAACAATATCAAAAACTATGCATAACAGGTGGGCTAACCTCCGCTCAATCGAACAGCTGTTTTCTATCAATTTTGAATTTGTTTTAATTCTTTTACAACAACAGCTTAAAACATGTCGGTGAGATAATTCGTTGTTGTGGTATCACTTGGGGAACCCCATCTACCCCTCGTGATCCTTCTACAAATATTATGTTATGTGTCCATTATTATTCAAGCAGTTCCCATCCGTGAAGATCCGGGGTAGAAAAGGTCTTCAGCAACCCATGCTAGCCGTAAGTGGCGACCTATGGGATCGGGTGGTCAGGCTCCTTGACTTGGTTGATGCATGTCATCTTATCCCATTTGCGTGGATCGAGGATCATGAAGTCAATCACTGGATTGTCTTGTCCAGACTCGATTATTTACAGACCGTCGTCATATAGTTCGAATATTGCTGAGTGCGGCGTTAAACATCAAACAAACCAAACTAACCAAATCAACCAGCTCGTTTAATACACTCGAACATACTCGTCTGCGAAGATTTCAAAGAGAGTCATGCGACTCTTGCTCAAACGTTAATTTGATCTACCAGCCTACAACACGTACCATACATCGGTCTGTCTACCAGCCCACAACACGTACCATACATCGGTCTGTCTACCAGCCTACAACACGTACCATACATCGGTCTGTCTACCAGCCTACAACACGTACCATACATCGGTCTGTCTACCAGCCTACAACACGTACCATACATCGGTCTGTCTACCAGCCTACAACACGTACCATACATCGGTCTGTCTACCAGCCCACAACACGTACCATACATCGGTCTGTCTACCAGCCTACAACACGTACCATACATCGGTCTGTCTACCAGCCTACAACACGTACCATACATCGGTCTGTCTACCAGCCTACAACACGTACCATACATCGGTCTGTCTACCAGCCTACAACACGTACCATACATCGGTCTGTCTACCAACCTACAACACGTACCATACATCGGTCTGTCTACCAGCCTACAACACGTACCATACATCGGTCTGTCTACCAGCCTACAACACGTACCATACATCGGTCTGTCTACCAGCCTACAACACGTACCATACATCGGTCTGTCTACCAGCCTACAACACGTACCATACATCGGTCTGTCTACCAGCCTACAACACGTACCATACATCGGTCTGTCTACCAGCCTACAACACGTACCATACATCGGTCTGTCTACCAACCTACAACACGTACCAAACATCGGTCTGTCTACCAGCCTACAACACGTACCATACATCGGTCTGTCTACCAACCTACAACACGTACCATACATCGGTCTGTCTACCAGCCTACAACACGTACCATACATCGGTCTGTCTACCAGCCTACAACACGTACCATACATCGGTCTGTCTACCAGCCTACAACACGTACCATACATCGGTCTGTCTACCAGCCTACAACACGTACCATACATCGGTCTGTCTACCAACCTACAACACGTACCATACATCGGTCTGTCTACCAGCCTACAACACGTACCATACATCGGTCTGTCTACCAACCTACAACACGTACCATACATCGGTCTGTCTACCAGCCTACAACACGTACCATACATCGGTCTGTCTACCAGCCTACAACACGTACCATACATCGGTCTGTCTACCAGCCTACAACACGTACCATACATCGGTCTGTCTACCAGCCTACAACACGTACCATACATCGGTCTGTCTACCAGCCCACAACACGTACCATACATCGGTCTGTCTACCAGCCTACAACACGTACCATACATCGGTCTGTCTACCAGCCTACAACACGTACCATACATCGGTCTGTCTACCAACCTACAACACGTACCATACATCGGTCTGTCTACCAGCCTACAACACGTACCATACATCGGTCTGTCCAAGGGGTTTTCCATTACACGCTTTGAGAGAGATGTGGTGAGCAACACTGCCACTTGTCAACGCCTCAAATTTGACTGAAATTGAGGTGAATAGATGTTAGTAATAAGCTGGTAGACACAGCTGTAGTATCCACACCGGAACAGTGTTGTAAGACTGTGTTGTTGGACAGTGTTGTTAGACTGTGTTGTTGAACTGTGTTGTTGAACTGTGTTGTTGGACAGTGTTGTTAGACTGTGTTGTTGAACTGTGTTGTGGAACTGTGTTGTTGGACAGCGTTGTGGAACTGTGTTATGGAACTGTTTTGTTTGACAGTGTTGTTAGACTGTGTGGTTGAACTGTGATGTGGAACTGTAGTTATGGGACTGTGTTATTGGACAGCGTTGTTATACTGTGTTGTTGAACTGTGTTGTTGGACAGTGTTGTTAGATTGTGTTGTTGAACTGTGTTGTTAAACTGTGTTGTTGGACAGCGTTGTTATACTGTGTTGTTGAACTGTGTTGTTGAACTGTGTTGTTGGACAGTGTTGTTAAACTGTGTTGTTGAACTGTGTTGTGGAACTGTGTTGTTGGACGGCGTTGTTATACTGTGTTGTTGAACTGTGTTGTTGGACACTGTTGTTAGACTGTGGTGTTGGACTGTGTTGTTAGACTGTGGTGTTGGACTGTGTTGTTAGACTGTGGTGTTGGACTGTGTTGTTAGACTGTGGTGTTGGACAGTGTTGTTAGACTGTGGTGTTGGAGTCTGTTGTTGAAAAGTGTTTTTGATACAGTTGCTGGACGGGCAGTGTTGAAAGGACAGTGTTGTTGAACACTGAGGCGAATTGCGATTATTAATAAGCTAGTAGATATCGCTATAGTATCTTCGAAGGAACGGTGTTGTAGGATATGAATACGACTTACAAAGCGATTATCTTGCGTTCAACTTCTATAACCGATGTATAGAGAAGATTGTCCTTGGTTCTACAACCGATGTGTTGGGATTATTGCCTTGTGGTCTACTCACCTATGTAGGTGTCCTCAGGACAGTTAGCTACATTGAAACTGGAACACATGTAAGCATCTGCCTGTAACACATGTAAGCATCGGCCTTTAACACACGTAAGCATCGGTCTGTAATACATGTAAGCATCAGCTTGTAACACATGTAAGCATCGGCTTGTAACATATGAAAGCATCGGCCTGTAACCCATGTAAGCATCGGCCTGTAACACACGTAAGCATCGGTCTGTAACACATGTAAGCATCGACCTGTAACCCATTGTAAATATCGGTCTGTAATTCATGTAAGTATCGACCTGTAACACATGTAAGCATCGGCCTGTAACACATGTAAGCATCAGCTTGTAACACATGTAAGCATCGGCTTGTAACACATGTAAACATCGGCTTGTAACACATGTAAGCATCGGCCTGTAACACATGTAAGCATTAGCTTATAACACATGAAAGCATCGGCCTGTGACACATGTAAGCATCGGTCTGTAACACATGTAAGCATCGGTCTGTAACACATGTAAGCATCGGCCTGTAACACATGTAAGCATCTGTCTGTAACACATGTAAGCATCGACCTGTAACACATGTAAGCATCGACCTGTAACCCATTGTAAATATCGGTCTGTAACACATGTAAGTATCGACCTGTAACACATGTAAGCATTTGCCTGTAACACATGTAAGCATCGACCTGTAACCCATTGTAAATATCGGTCTGTAACACATGTAAGTATCGACCTGTAACAAATGTAAGCATCGGCCTGTAACACATGTAAGCATCAGCTTGTAACACATGTAAGTATCGACCTGTAACAAATGTAAGCATCGGCTTGTAACACATGTAAGCATCAGCTTGTAACACATGTAAGCATCGGCCTGTAACACATGTAAGCATCAGCTTGTTACACATGTAAGCATCAGCTTGTAACACATGTAAGCATCGGCCTGTAACACATGTAAGCATCAGCTTGTAACACATGTAAGCATCAGCTTGTAACACATGTAAGCATCGGCCTGTAACACATGTAAGCATCGGCCTGTAACACATGTAAGCATCGGTCTGTAATACATGTAAGCATCAGCTTGTAACATATGAAAGAATCGGTCTGTAACACATGTAAGCATCAGCTTGTAACATATGAAAGAATCGGTCTGTAACACATGTAAGCATCAGCTTGTAACATATGAAAGAATCGGTCTGTAACACATGTAAGCATCGGCCTTTAACACATGTAAGCATCGGCCTGTAACATATGTAAGCATCGGTCTGTAATACATGTAAGCATCAGCTTGTAACACATGTAAGCATCAGCTTGTAACATATGAAAGAATCGGTCTGTAACACATGTAAGCATCAGCTTGTAACACATGTAAGCATCAGCTTGTAACACATGAAAGCATCGGCCTGTAACACATGTAAGCATCGGTCTGTAACACATGTAAGCATCAACTTGTAACACATGTAAGCATCAGCTTGTAACACATGAAAGCATCGGCCTGTAACACATGTAAGCATCGGCCTGTAATACATGTAAGCATCGGCTTGTAACACATGTAAGCATCAGCTTGTAACACATGTAAGCATCGGCTTGTAACACATGTAAACATCGGCTTGTAACACATGTAAGCATCGGCCTGTAACACTGTAAGCATTAGCTTATAACACATGAAAGCATCGGCCTGTGACACATGTAAGCATCGGTCTGTAACACATGTAAGCATCGACCTGTAACACATGTAAGCATCGGCCTGTAACACATGTAAGCATCTGTCTGTAACACATGTAAGCATCGACCTGTAACACATGTAAGCATCGACCTGTAACCCATTGTAAATATCGGTCTGTAACACATGTAAGTATCGACCTGTAACACATGTAAGCATCGGCCTGTAACACATGTAAGCATATGTCTGTAACACATGTAAGCATCGACCTGTAACCCATTGTAAATATCGGTCTGTAACACATGTAAGCATCGACCTGTAACACATGTAACCATTGACCTATAACACATGTAAGCATCAGCTTGTAACACATGTAAAGATCGGTCTGTAACATATGTTAGCATCGGTCTGTAACACATGTAAGCATCGGTCTGTAACACATGTAAGCATCGGTCTGTAACACATGTAAGCATCGGTCTGTAACACATGTAAGCATCAGCTTGTAACACATGTAAATATCGGTCTGTAACACATGTAAGCATCACCTGGTAACACATGTAAGCATCGGCATGTAACACATGTAAGCATCGTCTGTAACACATGTAATCATCGACCTGTAACACATGTAAGCATCGGCCTTTTACACATGTAAGCATCGGTCTGTAACACATTTAAATATCGGTCTGTAAAACATGTAAATATCGGTCTGTAACACATGTCATCATCGACCTGTAACACTTGTCATCATCGATCTGTAACACATGTAAGCATCGGCCTTTAACACATGTAAGCATCGGTCTGTAACACATGTAAATATCGGTCTGTAACACATGTAAGCAACGACCTGTAACACATGTAAGCATCGGCCAATAACACATGTAAATATCGGTCTGTAACACATGTAAGGATCAGCCTGTAACACATGTAAGCATCGGCCTGTAACACAAGTAAGTATCGTCTGTAACACATGTCACCATCGACCTGTAACACATGTAAGCATCTGCCTTTAACACATGTAAGCATCGGTCTGTAACACATGTAAGCATCGACCTGTAACACATGTAAGCATCGGCCTGTAACACATGTAAACATCGGTCTGTAACACATGTAAGCATCGACCTGTAACACATGTAAGCATCGACCTGTAACACATGTAAGCATCGGCTTGTAACACATGTAAGGATCAGCCTGTAACACATGTAAGCATCAGCTTGTAACACATGTAAGCATCGGCCTGTAACACATGTAAGCATCAGCTTGAAACACATGTAAGCATCGGCCTGTGACACATGTAAGCATCGACCTGTAACACATGTAAGCTTCGGCCTGTAACACATGTAAGGATCAGCCTGTAACACATGTAAGCATCAGCTTGTAACATATGTAAGCATCGGCCTGTAACACATGTAAGCATCAGCTTGTAACATATGTAAGCATCGGCCTGTAACACATGTAAGCATCAGCTTGAAACACATGTAAGCATCGGCCTGTGACACATGTAAGCATCGACCTGTAACACATGTAAGTGTTGAGTGAGTGGTGAGTGACGAGAGATGGCTGACAGTCACCAGCACAAGTACATTACCTCCAGTTAATGTGAAGAAACGCAACGTTCAGGGATCACAACCCCTACTGAATAACCATCTGGCTCTTGAGAATTTTGGAGTATCAAGAACTAGAACTGACCCCTGTTTCATTTCATATTTAATTTCGTTACTGATTGTGATACTTTCAAGTAATGTTTTTATTTTGATCAACCCAGTGCAACCAAAATGTGTAGCATATATATTATGTTTGTTCTGACACTGTTTCCTTGGCTGAAAGACCCAGGACCATGCTGTTGACTGCACTGAAATAAACATTCCAATCCCATCTGCCTTTGTCCTCAACTCAAACGTTTTATACACAAGATGTAATTCTATACTTAATATACCCATAAGATTATTATTGAATTTCAATATCCAGGTCTATTTGTTGCAAACTGAACAGCTGTGGCAAGTCATAGTGAATGCATGGCAATACACCACTGAACAGCTTTGTCCAACCATTGCTTTACAACCGTCTTAGTGGTGGGAACGCTTTGTGAAGCTACCACTAACGACGTCAATTGCATTATGTAGACTAGTCGCCCGTATACAACACATACAACCCCTTTGACTGAAAGGATTCATCAGGGCGTGGCGCAGCTTGCCATGTCACACAATACCCCTGTTATAATGCTATCTTCATAAAAGAAAAACTATATACTCTTCAAAACTAGAAACGCACAGGTAGTATGTTATTTACGGAACCTGACTACCAAAAAAAATCCGGTATATAAATTGGATGTATCTTATTAGAAAATGTTGGTGGCCTGACATTCGAGAAACGGTGCGTCAAAACACAGCCATTGTCGATTTGCAATGTCTTAAAAGGCATTGTTTTCACACATGTTCAAAAATGTTATGGAAGAAAATAGTAAAGTAAAATAGGTGGTGGTTGTGTCATGGTGTGGTGGGCCATATCCTACACCACGAGATCGGACTTGTGGTTCAGGGAAATTTGACAGCAAATCGCGACATGAATCAAATTCTTCAACCTCATCATCTTCAAATCATTGGCCGCCAGAGGGAGCCGTGTCAACAGGACAACGCCCCACCGTGCACAGCTCGTGTCACGGTAGACTACATTCATAATGCCAACATCAACGTCTTGCCCGGGCCGTCGAGATCTCCAGATCTCAAGCCAATCGAACACCTCTGGGATGAACTCGATCGACGTGTACGTCAACGTCAGAACACGCCGCAGACACTCCAACAAATGGGCAACGCGTTACAAGCAGAAAGGCTCAGAATTCCGCAGGACAGAATAATCATACTCTTATCCAGTCAGTGTCGAGGAGATGCAGAGCTGTGATTGCTGCCCGGGGCGATCATACCTGATACTGAGTTCAGCGCAACCTTGTAGCCTTATGTGACATAACAATGAACAGTTTTCAATGCCTTTGTACAACGACAACATGTGACTATCGAGCTCCAAAATTTCATATTTGTATCTATGATACTAAATTAAATATATCGACTTTATTAGGTGCAATAAATTTCCTAAATATTTACCTGGGCGTTTCCTTTTTTGAAGAGTGTATTAGCTTAATGTCGTTTGTCACGATAATGTTTCTTTTTCTTTTAAGTAACGAGATGTTGGTTGTGTCAAACACATACAAACGACACTTCCCCAATATAGTTTCCTGCTTATAAGGTACCGTTGCACCTGATATCAAGCACATTCAAGGCCATCCTAAATACCTTCCTTGTGCACAGTAAGGCGTTATAGCGAGGTGTGCACCCCTCAACACATCGTACACACTCACTGTTGTTGGAGTGGCTCCTCTCATCCGCAGATCAATAGTTCGCGTGCTCTGTCCAACTCTAACACTGACTTCGTCACCTCCGCAGGTTGTTTGAGTATCCCCTGGAGAAATATTCTGAAGGTGGGCCACCATCAGGAAAAGCGTCATCCAGCGGTGAGCCATGATCGTCCCGCTGTTCAGGCTTCAGCTAAAAACCAACTACACGCCCCGCATCAACGGATTAGATTATCACCACTCCGAATTCAGTTCATAGTTTAAGAACAAACACTCAAACCCAGGAACTTTCACACTTTTAACAGGAGGTCCCTCTGTTATTGTAGTAAACATGAGATGTCAAATAATTCGAAAAACTCTCTTGGAGTTCACACACACCTTTTCATCGATTCGCACATATGTCACTGGGTACATACGAGTTATGTCTCCTGTTATGTTTCTTAAAGTGAACGGCGTCTATTTATAGCTGTTAGATGATTTAACACTACACTTACTGGTGCTTAAGCCTGCAGTGTGTATGCATGGTTGAGCTTTTGTCCAGACAGTACGTATAGTGACATGTCTATGGGTGTCTATTTGCTCTGTTGGATAGAGCGTCTGCCTTGTCAGTGGTTCGATCCTCTGACAGCCTCCGTGGTCTAGTGGATAGAGCGTCCTCCTGGAAAGTCGAAGGTCGGTGGTTCGATCCTCTGACAGCCTCCGTGGTCTAGTGGATAGAGCGTCTGCCCGGGGAGTTAAAGGTCGGTGGTTCGATCCCCTGATGGCCTCCGTGGTCTAGTGGATAGAGCGTCTGCCCGGTGAGTTAAAGGTCGGTGGTTCGATCCCCTGACGGCCTTCGTGGTCTAGTGGATAGAGCGTCTGCCGGAGAGTTAAAGGTCGGTGGTTCGATCCCCTGACGGCCTTCGTGGTCTAGTGGATAGAGCGTCTGCCCGGGGAGTTAAAGGTCGGTGGTTCGATCCCCT